CCATTATGTAACTTATTATTGTTTCTTGCTAACCATGACCAAGCACTTTTCAAGGAATAACGTTGTTACTAAAATAAACAAACAAGAACCTTTACAACAAATTCCATCTCAATAACCCTCAGGCTATTATTTTTTAAGAATAATGCAAAAGAGTTAAGTAGACTCAAAGTTAAGATAAATACCTATACTATAACAGTTACTCAAATGTTTATTTATGTGTTAAAGTCCAAAGTACTTTTATTTTTTAGTAATTTGAGAAACACCTTTAATTTCTGTATTAAATTGTAAAATTTGTCCGTTTTCATGTACCTAGTAGAAATTTATCTAATTGTTACAATACGAAATTAATATATGTATATAAAGTGCTTATGATTAGTTAAACAATTAAAGTTACATAAAATAAGCAATTCTTCTGATGGTCAATAATGGGCCATATTATTGCAATTTAAACAATTCTTGGAGACCTTGAGGTAATTTGTATTATGCACACGCAATAATTTCTTTGTAACGACAGTGTATTTAAATATGTTTGTAACAGTTTTCAATAAATATTAATGGCAAGTCTTCTGAGCAAGTATTAACCTTGTGCCAAGGCAGATGTACAACATTGTTACATATATTTTGAAATAGTTAATTCATAGTTAGGTTATTTTCCAACTTTCACTGTAAGAGTGAGGCAACGTTAATGACTGTCCTATTCGAAAATCATTCTACTGAAACGATACGATTATTCACGCCCATTTAAAATTCCTATGCACAATAAAAATCGCTTCAGCGTTGTATCAAAAATTTTTAATTACATTGAACTTTGATTGATTCACTCTATTTGGCTTCTTCTACAACCGGAATCGTCTGTGATTGATAATGCAATGTGAATCGCCTATTAATGTAAACAAATGGTCGATCACCTTATTGTTTAGATCAAGAAGACCTATAATAAATTGATGTATCAACAGAAAACAACCAAATAGATAATTCCAGAAAGTTTGGAGAAAGGAAAAATATGGACTTTTTATCATGTCATCAAAAAGTAAAAGTTATTAGCACCTGCAGACTTCATTAGATAATAGCTGTTATTTGTCACAGAACTGGTACCGTTTCATAAATGTTTCGACATGTTTGTTTCTAGTACGTACAAGACAAATTTTATTCGTACCTACCTAGAGATTAATTTTAATTATTTTTTTTATCATTATTGCTAAAATAAAAACAGTACCAACATTTCAACACATTTTGAAATGAAACGAAACCTTATATAACACCTTTCAAACACCTAACACTGTAACATCCAGTTGAAGTATTTTTTAAGTTAACACAAAAATATTTATTTCGTTCTATCGTTCGGTCATTTCAAGCAAATAGTTTATGAATATTAGAGGGATGTAAGGTAATACATCTAACTTTTCGTTTTTATTTAAGAAATCAAATTTGTTTAATTTGAAACACTTTAAAGAGGATAACAGAATTGCAAGGTATTGAGTGCGCACTACGATTTACTGGTATTGATAAAAACTAACATAAAGGTAAGGTATGTACAAGTATTATGCTATATATAAGTATGTGTAGGTACCCTTTGTAATACAATAATATCAAACAACTTAGTAGCTTTTAAGGGAATTGTCAAGCTTTGTTACACGGGGTGTGGATTGTCGATCCACGCTCTATGTAACAAGTTCGGCGCGGCCTAGAGCGTGGATCCCCGATCTACACGGCGTGTAACAGGTTGCTTTCGCTCAGTTTACATTTTAAACGAAAATTTACATCAATTTTAATTAATTTCAATTTTATTTCAATGAGAGTAAGTATAATACTGTTTTCTTTAACAACATTTATCTGCCTTTGCCAATTGTAATTTGTAGAATCATATGTAATTAATACGATTTTTCTTAAATTAATAGAAAGACCATATAAATATGACTACAATATTTGCCGCATACCAACATGTTAATATTATCTTTCTGGAAATTGCTGCATTATAATAAAATAACATAACAGGCATTCACATTTCTAAGTAGAACTACTTACTTTCCATCACCTTGGATATTAACTATCTATGATAAAAATAATTTACCTATAAATTATTGGTTAGGCAGGTGTAACACGTAGGTACGACTCTTATCACATTGCATACTATTCAAAAAAGAAATGTGGGTACCACACGTGTCGAAACGAATTTTATAATATGTAAAACATCAGCAGGTATAACGCAACTGTAACGCAGATGGAAAAGGCGAAGAAAATTTTCTATGTGAAAACCTTATTAAATAAGTTATTTTTCTTACTAACAATTTTAAAAAAGGGACATTATAATTACTTCGACTCATTTCAATTCAAATTTCACACCTAAATGAACGAATATAATATACATAAAAGTGGTTAGGTAATACTGAAAGGTTTAAGCGGGTTATTTCACAGAAGTTTAATTATATATACGAAAATATGTGTGTATATATTTCATATGAATATATTATGCAATATTTAAAACTATTTAAACTATCCCGAAAGTAGAACAAGTAGTTCGATAGTAATAACAATTTTAAATTTTCAACTAGTGTACTATCAAAATCAGTTAATAGGGACTTCAAGTAACCATTATCTCGCATACCGCAAAATTTCTGGCTACTTTTATTGTACCTGCCCATACAATTCCTGAAATATATTACATTTCTGTATTTGCATACTTATGTAATCGTTATGGCATGATATTATACAAACCAATATTTTAAAAACATTTATTAATACGTACTTTTATCAATGTAAATTTGAACTACCTCACAAAAAGAATTACAGCGAAGCATCCTTAATTATTACTAGCAAGAAATGTTCTAATTATGTCTGAAATGTCAATCATTCTACTTGTAACAATTGAAAGACAAATTCTTGCTTCAAAACAATACACACAATGATTCAATTTTACACGTTTTAGATTTTAGTCATTTCTCTATCGTGCATCTTTAAAACCAAATTTTCGAAAATCGAATGTATTTTCAAAATAGATTTTTTGTTGTTTGTTAAGACATAAATTTACGAATAAATGCCTTATTTTACTACAAATAAAACACATTTGAGTTAAAGCAGGTATAAAAAAATAAATACAATAATTTTGTGTAGATATCTTGTAGCTAATCGTTGATTTAATTACACTTATTTACTTTTTTTAAGCAGTCAGAAACAAATAAATAATATGCTAATTGCTACCTAAATTCGTTGATACTTGTAGAAAATTACTAATATTTGTTTAATTTGTTTCAGAGAATGGAGAAACTAACGATTTTATTTTTTGTATCGACGTTAGCCCTGACTATTGGGCATCCCGCCAATATACTCATTGATTCGGTAAGAATAAAAAAACATCTCATGATACATATCACAATTTTTGTACTTAAATGAGTTAAAATGCATAAACACATACATAATTGTTTTATCAAATAAGGTAGTTAGCAAAGGGAAATTGGAGTTTGAGATATTTCTACTGACGCTAAAAAAAGTTTTTACTTAGTATTACAAGTTTAGAATAAAACAACGAAATATCAGTCAATTCTAAATTAGATTATTATTGCAAGATAATTCGCAAAAGTATAGCAAGGCTTTATGAGTTTCATACCTGAAACCATTTAAATACCTTAGACAGTAAAAAATGTAACTTCCTGTAAGAAAAGGATGCATTAACTATTTGTTACAATTATAGCGCAAATACAAAAGTTTACCGCAAAAACACTTCCTATTATACTCAAGTATTTCGTAAATAACCATTCACTTTGAATATCATTATTATACACACTAAATATAAATTATTAACTAGCAACACTGTGTCGAAACTTTAAAGCAAAACTGTATTACAAATTCAATTTCTAGATATTAGGTGGTCCATGTGATATATACTACATTAGTATCTTCTGATTTGATTCAAAATTGTGCAGTATTGTTATTGTTCCATCAAAAATACTTCACAATTTCTACCTTTTGTGTACATTTCGTTTAAATNTTTTTTAAAGTCGTTTCTAAGCTAATTAAGGACCATTTGCACAAAAAAGAGATAAATAAGCACTAATTAGAAACAACTTCCTGATCCACTGACACACTACGTGTGAAATTAGTGAAGATATTTACAAGAAGAGACCATAAATATACGAAGTCGAATTTTTAAGTAACTTTTTTTTAAATGAACAGAAAATAATTTACAATCAATCGTTTACGCCTAGAACCCAATTAGGCTGCTAGTACACGAGCATAGCCAAAAGTTAATCTTTATTTTTCAATGCTACCTACTAATCGTAATGAGTATAATTACGTTTTATCCAAAGGAACCGTTTATGCACCATTTTTTATCAATAGTACCTACACTCCTTTCTAAATTCTTCTTTCATACCATTCATTAAAATTAATTAAATTAATCTGGCAGGGACGCGTATCTACAACCTACGCAGTTTTAAATGCGCAAACAACAGAAAGATGTATTAGTGCGTACTACAAAATGTTCGCAGTCCATTAATTTATCATTGGTTTTAAATGGAATCCAATAAATACCATTGAACGAAGCACGGATGTGATTTATTTGAAATAGTAGTACAAATTAAAATAGAAACATAAACATAGCAAAATTCCTTTGATTTTCTACTTTAAAACTATTTTCTAAAATAATCACTTCTACTTTTTTAATTTAAAGAAACATAACGTAAACCACGACGGCTTAGTTTCCACCGTAGACGAATTAAGTTGGGTAAATGGATGCCGAAATTCTGAAAGGATAACATATCCTTTGTTGAGAATGTTTAAATATGATGACTGCTCATAGAAAACTATTAATAAAAATAAGAAAAAACTTTCAACAGCTTGGTATTTCACATAACATAGCATTATAGTCGATGAAGCTTTCACATATAAAGCTTTTAAAATGATATTCTTACTTCATTTTGGAGATGGTCCCAAATTGAAACTAAACTGTTTGGGCCCGTTATGGATTCGTTGTAATGGTGCATTATCCCATCTTTCAGTTCTTCCCGTTCATCTGCTACCCCGAACTTAACAGCAGGAACACAACATGAATCCGGAACCCATTTCTTTGTAGGCCAAGCATCTATCATGTACCAATCCTCATAATTTTGAACGCCACAACAATGAAACTAAAATTAAAATTATAATGGTACACACTGCATTTATAATGTTAACATTTACCAAAGAGACGTGTGATATACCAAAAGATGGCCAGCAATTAGTTCGGATATAGAATTTTCGCTCTTTACGAAGTCGCGATCAAAACTTAGATTTTTTACTTAAATTTTACAAGTCGACTTCTAATAACTCTGAAGGACACAACCAACTTCAAGTTTAAAGTCACCACCGACTAGTTTGCTCATTAATCTGCATGCAACCTTACTAATCTGGACAAAACAAACAAAAAATTTTTCCCTATAGGTACTTTACTATTGGAATCGATCAAATACTTTTGGATCCATTCATCTACGACTCTATAGTCACAAAAAATATATAAGGTTGTTCAAGTCGGTGATTTTCGATTTTCTGGCCACTTTGAACTCCATTTTACCTAATAAATAATTTGACGCAATCTAAATCTCAAAGATAGCAGGTTTTCTTCTAGTATTTACCAGGTCTATAATTTACACACATATATTTTCGAAAATTTACATTTTTTCGTATGTTAATCTTTTTCAGAATCATCAGTTAAGTATTTATATCGCATGAGCATATTNAAATCTGGCATTTTCTAATACGTCTAGGCAGTCAAGATAATCATACAATACAAACAAAGCAGTGGGCAGTTAAATCAAAATAACTTCAATCGAATAGGTCAAAACTGATTTAATGGTTTGTACGAATAAATTAATAGTTATATTGTTACTTTATTTTCTAATTGGATTGCATATTCTGTAATGTGAACAAGCGAACCTAGTGACAAATTATCCCCCGCCCCCTAAATGAATTTCATCGCTGTTTTCTTGGACAATGTACAATAAAAAAATATAGTGAAATGTCTTTAACACTAACACCTAATAAATGACGTAGTAATTCTGAAATTATGCACCACCCCCAATGTAAACCACTGTCAAAACGGTGTACTACTCAAAGAAACTAATTAATGCTACAAATGCCACAAGTTAACTGCAATTATTTAAACAACAGTTAGCTACCCTAATGCCAAATACAATATTTGACAATATTCGGCTAAGCGTTTATTTAACCGCTGTTTTTTTAATTGCTTAACTACATCCTGTAATGCCAAATTGTAAAGATTGGCTTTGACATACACAAGACTCACCGTAATCAACATAAACCTGCTTTGCATCCAAGATCCGCAACAAGCGCAAAAGGACAGAATACAGGCTATTATTCCCACAACAATTGCTAAAATGTCAGCGCTCAGCATTGCATACTGGGGCAGTAGGGTAGCATACCCTTCGTATGCCACCCTCAGCCATATGCCGACACCTAAAATGCCGCATCCTGTCATCTGGAAAATACAAAAGAAAATCGTTATATTGAATCGTTTTCCCAACAACGTTTTATGGAAGGAAACTGTATTTATCTAGGTGTGTTAGCCTAAGTACTATATTAACTGTATTGGCATGTTTGACAGTCACTGAAAGGAAAAAAGTACCTGTAAGTACAAAGGATTATATCTAGTCTTAGAAAATTTTCAAAATGTTAAGAATCAGTTTCAGTAGTCATTGAAAAATCTGCCTATTCTTTCGCAAAAATTCTCAATGTACTAAACCAGAAATTATTATGGAACTATGGGTAGGTACTATTGAACAATTAAGAAAAAGTATATACTCGTGGACACTAGGCATGTACCTTTTATTGTATTACATTTTACTTCCTAGCAGGAGGTAATTTAAGTTAACATGCAGAAGGTAATTTAAGTTAAATTAAGCCTCTACGAACATGTAGATATACTACAAGTTAGCTTTAACATGATGTTGTAAACTAGATTCAATTTTACTAGCAACATTCCAGTTTTATGCGTATGTAAATGGAAGAGAAAACTTCCGCAATACTGAACTTGACATTCCTACTAAATGGTACATGTACGCAAATAAATTTGGAATACAACATGACAGATTGCCATCTATTCTCTGAAAACGTGTAGATAAAGTCTTTATTTCTAGTTGTGTTCTCAAATTATTTAAATAAAGATGCCGCCATTTCTTTTTAATTTAAAAGCAAATATTATCGTATATAAAAATAAAACTAGTATTAAGATTACTTATGTAATATCTCAAAATAGTAACAGAATGCAATAAATAAATTTTTAACAATACTTATAAGTTAACAACGAATACGATTATTTATGAATATGTAGGTAAATCATCCTAAGACTGACTGGACACGCACCTACTCTTTCCTATCCTGAGTTAATCTTTTTCCCTAATACTAAAACATCCCACATCCTTAACTTTTTGTGAACAGTAATCTAATCTATATCCAGATCTACCTCTACCCCTTTTAACACCTGTTTCTGCTTCCAATATGCCTCTAAATAACCTTTCATGCTCGATTATTTTGGGATTATTAGAGTTCCTAGATACCAAAAATCAGCTACTTCTTCTTATTTTTCGTATCCTATATTTAAATTCACTCTTTCGTTCCTTGCATATCA